AAGTTATGTCTTGGTATGTTGTCCTTGTTCCTACAGGTCATGTGGATAATGTAACATCATGGTCTCTCTTCCAGATTAAATGAAGTAAAAAAAATCTCTCTCTCTCTCTCTCTCTTACAGACTAAAGTGTTTGGCAGAGACAGGGTGAAGTTTATAGAAAGTCTAGTAGTTGGGGATATTGCAGAGCTGAAGCCTGATCAGGTACATTGCCACCAAATAGATCACTTGGAGTGTCCAGTCAATAGCATGGTAGATTTGGCACTGATGCATCCAAGATCAAATCCATGCTTAGTTAAGTGGTCTTGGACAAATCTAGATTACTGTAACTGCTTCTGATTATCATATTTTATGAAGAATATTGACAAACTGGTGCATATTCAGATGTTGACCAAAATGGTGATGCGATCTGACACCGCAGTTCTGTAAGGAATGGTTGAAAGAACTGAATATAATTAGACAAGTGAAAAAAAAAATTAACATAATGACAATTTTCAACTATCTAAAGAACCATCATGTTTTCTGCTGCTCCAGAGATTAGGAAACAGAACAATGAGTGGAAACTAGAAATCAGACTATGGCAAAATTAGGAGCTCCTAATAGTAATGAACTCTTCAAAAGCAGAATAGTCTGATACAGATACTTAAGCACAAGATGGATTGCTATAGCTGAATCCTCCATTGTAGATTCTGCACTGAAGATGTTAGATTAACTGACTGCTAGTTCCAACTCTATTACATACTTCTGGTTCTCTATTTTTAAAGAAATGAATAACTTTTCAACATCCAAAACCAATGTCTTGAGTACAAAAGGGCCTTACATTTGAATAGTTTTGGTACTCTTCACCTTTAAAAAATTGAATTCATGGCTTAAGCAACAGAAAAATACCATATACTACTGAAATATTTTTAAAAAACAAAGCACTGTATGTAGTCATGGAGTTAAGAAATTAACACTGTGCACAGCCTGTACTGAACTGTAACTCTTAATGGAATCTCATTCCGTATTGTGTTGCAGGACCAAGGGATATGTACCTTATGGAGTGGGGTGGGGAATGTTCTTTTGGGTACCAGCTTTGATGGTTATCGAATTTATATCCACTTCTCAGCTTCAGCTTCCTTTCCTTGGAAACTGATCTCATAGACCAGTAATGGAATTGGCTGAATTTAGCTTTCCTTTCAGGGCACACTCTCTCTGTTCACAAATGAGAAAGGAGGCATTATAGATGATTTGATTGTGACCAGCACCTCAGAGGAGCACCTATATGTGGTCTCTAATGCCGGTTGCATGGACAAAGATTTTGCCCTCATGCAGGTAAGTTTCTTGCTGCCGTTCATTCCCAAGAGGCAGTAGTAGGAGTAACTGAGATAAGAGGGATGACATTCTGTTACAGGAATAGAATAAACAAGGAAAACAGTTATCCTCTATGTGTATCTTGACCTTACTGTTCGCTCTATTACATATTGCAGAACAAGATGAAGGAAATGAAGGCAGCTGGCTATGATGTACACTTGGAGGTGTCAGACAATGCTTTGCTTGCTTTGCAAGGTAAATGTAATTTCTCCAGTAATTGCCATCACCATCATCAGGAACTTAAGAAGCACCTTATGTCAATATTATCTCAAGCATTCACCTTGAAAGAAGATGAATTCCTATAGTGCCAGCCCCTTGGACAAGATTAAATTAGATATATAATATTGTATTTTATGTGGGACTAAATTTCTTCATTAAACCTTTGGTGGGTTTCCAGAACTATTTAAGCTACATGCTGGTCTTTCTACTTCCTCCCTGTTTTTTCTGCTACCAGGTCCTGCTATGGCCCACGTGCTGCAACCTGGGGTGGCAGACGATCTGGCCAAGCTGCCCTTCATGAGCAGTGCAATGATGGTCGTATTTGGAGTGCCAGGCTGTAGGGTGACCCGCTGTGGCTACACAGGCGAGGATGGCGTAGAGGTATCACACTGACAGCTTCTAGACATGAGCAGGAATAAGGATCTAGTGGAAAGAAAGGATTTCAATAGCAGCAAGTGGTAAGGTGGTATCCAAGTGGGACAGGCTGCCTGAGAAAAGACTAAGTTATCTGAGGTTTAGAGGAAGATAATGTGTTGATATGGAAGAAATAATTTAAGTTGGATGAAAAATAGAGTATCTGTCAAATCCAGATATTGGGTTGATTTAAAATGCAGGTCGAGAAAATGTTTGGCAATAAATCACACCAACTAAATGACATGCATTCTTGTGCCTAGATCTCTGTCCCTGCAAGTCAAGCTGTGGAGCTGGCTGAGCTGCTGCTTAAGGACTCTTCTGTGTGGCTGGCGGGACTTGCAGCGCGGGATAGTTTGCGGCTGGAAGCAGGCTTATGTCTTTATGGGAATGACATTGATGAGAACACAACCCCTGTGGAGGCCAGTCTGGTATGGACTCTTGGTAGGTACCCACTGAATTCTCAATTTCTTCCAGCCAAAGCCAAATTTGATCAAACTGCCCTACATCCACCCAACCCCAAAACTGATGAGACTTGAAACATAAAGACTAAATATTGGCAGGAAGCTATAACTGGAGTATAAACAGGGATGGGAAGAGTGCAGTACAAGTAGTTGCTCCTGAAGGGAGGACCTTCTGCTCCACAGTGGGGGAGCTAGTGCTATCATGGTGCTGTACTTTTCTGATTTCCTCCCAGGGAAACGTCGTCGTGTTGCCATGGATTTCCCTGGTGCTTCAACCATTTTGGCCCAAATTAAACAGAAACCAAAAAAGAAGCGTGTAGGGCTGACTTCCACAGGACCTCCCATCCGGCAGCATGTGCCCATTCTTAGCCCAGAGGGCAAGGCAATTGGTAGGTAGTCTAATGGAACTGACATCTAGATGATGATGATGATGATGATGTCCTGTTGCTGTAGCTGGCTTCATGTGACTGGATTCACATATCATGCCAAGTCAGGTTTGTGTAATAATGTTTCACTGAATATATCACAGTAGCTGGATCCATACAACATACATGTCCAAAACTAAATGATACATATTTACACTTAGCAGATTGTGTAAACTTGAGATGTACAAAACAATTCAAATTTAAAATGTTTTGAACTAAGAACATTCCATTTTGAATTTGAATTGGGCTGTTGTAACCTAGTAACAAACGATCTGAGCTTGAAATAACCATGTCCTGTTTGTTTTTAGCTGCTAGCTAAAACACCATGTTTGTTCATTGCTCTTTGTTAATCGGTACAGATTGTAGCTCCTGTAATCCACAGCTGACTTTGTTTTTAACTATGCTGGTTGAAATTTGTGGGAATTAATCCAGCACATCTGGAAGGCACTGTGCAAGGGAAACGAGAACCTTATGCAATCTAAGGGCTACTGGATAGGATGGTTTGAAAAGTTGGGAGCTCTGTTTCCTGATGTTTCTGTTATTTGTAGAAACTGTATGCTCCTTATTGAGCAATACTTTGGCTGTTTTCTGTGCACTAGGTGAAGTTACTAGTGGCTGCCCATCACCGTGCCTGCAGAAGAATATTGCCATGGGCTATGTGGACAGTGAATATAGCAAACTGAACACAGCCCTCACTGTAGAGGTGAGGAAGAAGAATTACCCAGCTCTTGTGACCAAAATGCCCTTTACACCTACCCATTACTACACTATAAAATAAGCTGCTGCCAGCAAGTATTTGTAATTTTATATTACACTGTATTAGAAGACAAGAGATACTAGACTCTATGAGGGGTCTGGTAGATGACTACAACTGAAGACAAGCTGGGCCTCGAGAAAACTTTATCAGTCTATCATTGATGACTGCAGTGTGAGGAGGAATGTTTGAGGACTGATAGGTAGAAAAGTAATCTGGTTTTATTCCTCTCATCTGCTTGGTAGCTTCTTAGTTACTGTCATGAGTTATTTAGTTCAGATCATGCACATGCAGTTGATCTAGGCTATCTAAACTTTTTGGGGATTGGGAGCCACATTGGAATTGGGAAAGCACATTCTGGGCATTCTTACAACATTGGAGGCGCAGTCAGTCACAAAATTCTAATTTACCAGAAGAAAAACTGAAGATGATGCTCTCCACTTAACTTTTGTACTCTCGCCTTCAAGAACCCGTTCTGTGTATCCCAGCTGATCACCTGTCTTTTTTCAGGGTAGATGGATGCTAGACTGTAATCCTGCTCCATTTTTATATTCTGAGAATGTCTGAGTCCCTTGGTATTTTTTAAAATAAAGATCAGTTAGTTAGATACCAAAGTTGGTGTCTGTAGGCACAGGGATAAGTCAGAGCAAACTTTGCAGCAGAACTTGTGAGCAATTTTCTTTAAGACGGCTTTTATAATTGTTCAACACATGTTTTGTGAGAATAAGCAGGAGCAGTGGTTCAACTTAGGCAAATCCTCTTTTAATTTTTTGCTTTTACCTGAGCTGGAGGCTTTAGATAGTCCCTTGAAGTACAGCTCAGCTGCTGCTTGCTTCATGGGTGCATCCATGAAATTTTCTTGGCAACAATAAAATAGTTTACTATTGTCATCTTTGGTAATTTTTGTTTGCTTGTTTTGTTTTTCACTCCAGCCCATAGCCCTGGAATTTCCTGGTGTTCTTCCATCTAAGTACTAGCCAGGACCAACTTGGTTTAGTTTTTCAAGGTCAGCTAGGTGCTGCCATCCACTCTGGCTACCCCATTTCTGCTTTGATCCGCAAAGACATACCAACTTTCTCGAAACCATATGCGAACCAAACCCATCGAAACGCAGAGACAGGTTACAATATTTACAGGAGCTGATGAGGCAAAAACATAGCTGTTAGCTTCCATTTAAAATTAATGTTAGCTCCATGGAGAGAAGTTTAGATTAGGAAAATAACACAAGGAATAGTTGCATGCCTCCCTTTCAATTTTTTAGTAAAAAAAAAAAGTGTAGCAGATCTATTTTCTGCTTAGTGTGTAGTATGGCCCTTAACTAATGAAATGCAGTTCACGTGCATTGGCATGCAATAGCTACTGCAGTAACACCCAAGCTACTTTTGTTTTTTTAATTACTTCTTTATAATCTATACATTACAAACTATGCAATAAGTGGCAACACATGGCAGAGAAGAGGAAAGCTCAGTATTGCATCAGCACGTCTTCGATCACACAACTGCAGAGACAGATTCATCTTAGACCTCCAGGTCATAAGCACCATGGCTTATGGTTTGCAAGCAGAACTGTTCTAGAAATTGAGCTAAAGAAAGTCATTAGCACATACTACAAAGCTAACAGAGGTAGAAGACATTAAAAAAATTGCCCAGACCAGATTTCTCCAATCCAGTCCCTACCAAATGTGAAGAACAACTCAGAATTCCCAATGATTGGCCATGTAGTCTTGGAGTTCTCAAGCTGTAGGCCAATATGCCTGGGCACTGCTGACTCAGACTACAGTTTATGGTAGGCCTGAGCTACTCAGATATGGTAGCAAATGGTGATTCATACTCAACTGGAAAAATGACCCTGTTCCCTTTCTGAACAGAAGCTGGCTCAGGGCCAGAGGTATTCAAGTACCACAACAGAAAGAAATGAGGTCTGTGCCAGCAATTTAATGCTGAGAAAAGATAGACTGGAGGCCAGTCTGCAGACAGGTTTGTGGCACAGCAGGAGAAACAATAATGGAAATAATGTAATGGGGAAGGAGGGGAGGGAATTGCAGCTTCCCGAACCTGAGTAGAGCAATCCTGAGACTCAGCGCTTGGTAACTGGATGGATAGGAGCAGTCCTCTCAGCACCAGTGATGGCCAGCAATTAAGCCACAGTATGGGAGAAACAACAACTCTGATTGCACCTTCCCTTTGCACTGAAACAGCAGGGCTTCTAAGTGGACAGGCAAGCAATCCTGTCCTCTGTGCTCCTGGTGCAGCAGGAGCCTGGCTTGGTCATCTCTGTTGTTACTCCCGATGTGTTTTTGTATTTGTGTTGCTTGTGCTCTCCCTAAATTTAAAAAGAAAATCTAAGCATATCAAAATCTTCAAAAAATGCAATCTGTGTTTTTCTGGGTACCCTCCCCTCCTTCCCCATTACATATCCCCAAACCACTGATGCCATTATCCAATAACAGTTCAACTAATAAAACAACTCACCACACAGAGTAGTGTGAAGAGCCATCTGGAGTTTCTCCATTCTGTCCTCCAGGGCCTGGAAAGGAAGAAAGAATGATCAGTTAAATCATTCAGCTGATATTTTCCTGATCCTTGGAAGACTCCTGTTTCCCTTTTGTCTTGCAAAGTGTTTACTGAAATGAGTTTATGGAAGACCAGAGTGAAATGTCCCCAGTGATAAACCACTTTGCTTCACAGCTTCCTCAAAATATTTTCCTATGCATTAATTCAGCCTCTCTTAAAACAGCTATTCAAAGATCTGTTGGCAGAGAAGATCCAGCTACAAATGATGCATTTTGGAAGCAAATGAAATGCATTTTACAGTAGGTCTTTTTAACTTGTAAGAAGAAAAGGACAGTACACTGTCCTGCTAACCTAACCAAAAGCCTATCTAGCCAGCATCCTGTCTTCCTGCATCCAACAAAATGCCTCAGGAAAGACCCCAGTAAACTTAGCAGAAATGACTCTTCTGCTGCACCTCAACCCACTAAACTATTCATAATCAGCAGCATGCTGCATGTAACAGTCATCACCACAACTAGTGCCTCCAAAGCCAGAATGGGGTACTGCCCCTACCCCAAAGTAATACAAATAGTAAAAAATATGGCCACACAAAATCATTTGTCAGCAGACACAGTGGAAACCCTGTCATGCTGTCATTGGTGAAAGTAGCAGCAACACTCAGTGGTAGAAGCTGGCTCTCTTTTCTAGTTTAAATAGATTTGTGCAGTACAGAACTAGCGTACTCTCAAGAAAGTGCTAACCCTGAGCTTTTAAACACAGCTCTAGTGCTCTTTCTGAAAAGCACTAAACCTGTTTTTATAAAGACCACAGAGAAGACATGACAAGCACCTTGGAAAGCACAAGTCAGGCATTATGTGAAGAGGTGCCTCTGCCAAAGCCAGACCTCTCTGGTCTCACCTGCAGCAAAGCCATACAGGCCACGGAAGGCAGTTCTCAGCAACTGGAGGGGAGGGTCATGCCTACAGCAGCCTAAACTAGGCATATTCCATTCCCTAACCACATCAACCATCTCACTGTCAGGAAATAAGCCATATTGTACGTACAGCAACAACTTTGTCAGGAGAAGAGGAAAAACACTACTTTAAAACTGGGACAGCTAAGGATGTCTTTAAGTTGCCTCATTTATGGGCTGGGGATGAGACAGGGCAACATCATGAGGACGTGGCAGAAAGAGATGGTTACCTGGGCATGTTCATACCACAGTCAGAAGGAATTGAGGAAGAACCCTTTGTCTCAAGCCAAGCATCTGTTAATTCATATTAGCTCACTGAAAGAGGGACAGATTTCCATTGAATAAGACATAATAATTACCATTTAACATTTATGAAGTGCTCGTTCAATTAAAATGTGTATCATTAAGATTTTGTTAATCAGTCAATCATATTTTTGGATATTAATAACATTTGCATATTAATATTTTTTCTTCCAAGTCTTACTTTTATTAAGTAAGACTTGGAAGAAAATTTTTCTTTTAATAAGAAATAATATAAACTTTAAGTTCAGCTTTCCAACTGGCAGCAAGATCTTAATGAAGAAGTTTTATCCAGTTAGTCCTGAAGAGTTTCTGCTAGACAATATTGAGTTAGTTGGCAATTTCCTAATCAGTAATTTGCAGTGTAATAGATAAAGATTAAAAAAAATAGTGCTAAATTATTCTAAAAAGTTTTATCAAACCAACTTTTTCTAAGGCCTGTGAGAAAAAAGAATTTTGGGCACAAAATAATTTTTAATAAGAAATATTTAAAGTCTAATTTACACATACATAGCAGCTAAATATATGTATTCAATATGAATACTCTATTAAATAGAATAAAACTAGATTAAGGCCAAGTTAAACTAGTTAGCTAACTACAGCCATAAGCTCCAAAGTTTCACAATACCTTATTAATAATTCACTGCTGAAGTAAGGATAAGCTGGCCAATAAATATCAAGAACAAACCCAAACTGTGCTGCCAAAATAAATCTACTTTGTTGCCAAATTTCATAGCCCAATCTGAGGGTACTAGGGAAAAACATGGACTCTGTGGAGTAGGGGAATATTCACCTTTTACAATATGAGTTGTAAGAAACACTATGTTTTTCCTTTCAGAACATTCACTTTCCCCCTCATTTGCTATACTATGCCAGGATAGGAATACTTTGCTCTGTGATCAACTTCTACAGTATTATTCATGGGCAATGCCCTTGCAATTGTGGAAGGGAAATCTTTTTGGAGGAGTTAGAACAAACTAGCTTCATTAGAGCTACATAACCACATGTCAGTTTAATAGTGCTGCAGAATTCATGCTCCTCTCTGCAGACTCCAAATTAACCTTAGAAGATGCCTCAGTATCAGAAATGCCTGGTCGTAGATAGAGGACACTGTTAACAGTTGCTGTCCAACTGTTGTGCATGCCTGCACCAAATGGGCAGGGAAAAAACAGGTCATAGAACTGGCATTCAGGGTGGAGCAAGGAATGCTGTGTCGTTAGGGCAACCTAGCCTGAGTACACCAAGGAGGCCATGCTTGATAACAGAACTGACCAGCAGCTAGTAAAGTCCTCTTGGGAAAGGGACAGGACACCAAATCAGATCTGGCTCCTTCACAGGACCTGCTTATTGTTCCCCCACTTCCCCCAGGCACCTTAATAGCCAGAAAGGTTGGGAGAGGAAGGTGTTAAGAAGGATGGCTGGAGCAATAGGCCTGGCAGGTCACTCTGGCCAGGGCTTCACCATTAACTCTTTTAGGGCAAAATAATGGTATGGGGGAATGGCCTTGGGAGACAGGGCAGTGCCGCAGCCAAGGGAAAGGTCAGATAAAAGGCATCTTAGGCTGCAGTAAGAATGTGGACCAGGCAAGGGGTTCAGGAGAGACCTTCCCTAGTTTCTTGGGCTGTAAAGGGGACGTACGTTCAGATTTACAAGATTCTGTTAATGTCACCTTACAATAAAGCAGAAATAGCTCATCTGGCCGTGCGTCCTGTCTGGTCTACCTCGCAAGGCTGACAGGCAGCGAGTCAAGACGGACCCCGCCCCTGGCCCGGGTTCTCCACGCGGGGGGCACACTTGGAGGGAGACCCGGGCTGACCTCCAGCCGCGCATCGCCCAAGAGTCAAGCAGGAGCCCCCGGGACGAATCGCGGCGCGCGCGGGCGGGAAGCGGAGCGCGGTGGGCGCAGCGGCGGCGGCGGCGGCAGCAGCGCGTCGCTTACGCGGGGAGCCCTACCTTGCCGATAGTAGAGGCCGGTGACGGTATTCCCGTAGACCCGCCAGGCCACCTGGATGCCGAGCAAGCTCACCAGCAGCCAGAGCAGCAGCAGCTGGAAGAGGGCGGCCCGCAAGTCCTGGGCCTCCCAGTCCGACAGGAACTCCTGCCCGAGCCAGGTGAGCGCCCGCAGCACCCGCGTGGGGGCCTCCCACTCCGCGGAGGCGGGCCCGGCCCCCGCCTCAGCCTCCGCCGCCATCAGCCCCTCCCGCCGCTCGCGCAACGCTGCGACACAAACCCCGAGAAAACTGTCAGCGGGGTTCCACTGCGCGTGCGCACAAACTAACTTGCAAACCCCTCCCCGTTTTGGCAGAAGAGAGTCGGTGTGTGTTCTCGTGCGTACGCGCGCGCGGGGTTCCTGAGATCGGGAGCGGCGATCGGGGCCAAGTCCGGGCCAAATTTCCGCGCAAGACGCCCCACAGAATTCAGAGACAGACATAATGAGCGTGCGGTTTGGTTGCACTGCGCAATTTCTTATAAAGCGTACTTCTTTTATTCTTGTTATTCAGCGATTCCCCATTTTTACAAAACGTTTTCAGTGAAGAGAAGCCGAGTGACGAAGGAAGCCTGTGCGATCTTCAAGAAAAAAGACCAAATCGGGACCGTTTTGAGAAACGTTTAGAAAACCAGTTCAGTTGTTAATACTTGCATTTCTATATGAGCAGCTTCAGTACCGTTAGTGCCGGTTGAGTCAAGAAAATGCAAGCATGTCGAAGTAGTTTTGACTAGAAGAAAGAAAAGAAGGAAGAAAGAGAGAGCGAGAGAGCGCGAACGTGCATTAAAGCCCATGACACCGTTTCAAAGCATCCCCCTCGCCTCTTAAGAAAATTTCCACCGGTGCTTCCCAAGAAGCCGCTTTTTACCACTTTCGCTTTCGTTTCCCCACTTCCTGCAGAAAGGAGGCAGACTCTGCTGGCTTCCAGGGTTCCTCCGCCTCGAGCTGCTGGGTTTGGAGTGCGGGGAGCACGAAGTGTTTGCTGGTAAGGTTTGTAATTTTCTCTGAATGGCAAAACGTTGCGCTCTGTTGCTTTCTAGGTATGAGTGGCTGTCGGATGAACGAGAAGTCCCACGTCCACCTTCAGTAGAAAACCCAGGAGCAGCGGCACCCGGGGGGGGGGGGCTCCCTGGGCCCCAAGGCAAGCCTCTCGCAAACGTGGTCATATTGCAATAAAATAACTGTTTAAAACGTTATCTGAAATTTGGATTTTTCTTAACATAAAGTTTTAATATTATCTTTAAATGTTCTGTTAAAGAAGGATGGATCTTTTTCTGTAAAGATGTAAGATATTATACAGTAATTCTTAATGATTTATACTATAGATATTGATTATTGTTGTTGATATTTACATATTACTTGGATTTTAATAATGACCTGCAGTGTTTAAAATGATATAAGATATTCAGTTACATAACACTAATAAGGAAAATTCTGACCTAACAAATTTAATTTGTTTAATTCTGTGATGCTTGTGATTTCCCTGTTTATTCAACTTGTATTGTTTTTCTTTTGCCTCTTTTTTTCTTGTTGGACTTTTAAAAATTTTCTTACTTTCTCAAAAATGTTTAATAAATTTAATAAAAAAAATTTTCTTGGACCCTAACATTTATAGTATTTGTTTCAGTTTCAGTGTCTGATATATCTCTATCATTCACATACAAACTCCAGTGTTCCTTCACTTCATTTTCACCCCTAATAATTTCAGTACTTTACATCTATTCAGTCTGCTGGAGACTCCTTGTTCTTCCATTATCACCATGCAGTGACCATCTACCTATGGATTCCTAGTTTCATAAATAGCCATAACAACCTATGTGACACTAAGTCATACATGCTGACATCCCTTTTAGCCTTTTCATTCATAATAAAATCTATACCTTTACTTTCCTGCCTATGTTCATCAATTCCATTCCTTAAGATCAAACCACCTTCATTCAGCTATATTACATTCCTCAGCTTTATCTTAGTCTTGCAGAATACAGCATATCTAATTTTCTTTCATGCCAATTGCTCCTCTTACAGTCCAAACCATATATCAGGGTTATTACCAGATGGACCTATAAATACTGATTCTTGCCACTTTTCTTGGCTTTGGTCAATCTCTTGTTTTAATAAGATAGAATTGTCGTATCAAGAGTCATATGTATGCAACATGCAGCATTTCCTGCTAACAGTGAGGTCAGAACTGGTCAGTTTTGGTACATAGTAGCCAGTATGTGATAAGTCCGGCCACATTCTGAGGCTTCTCGTAGAACTGTCACACAGACAGATTCAGGGATGCAAGTATCTGTTTAGTAGTTTATCGCAAGAATTATAGATGTGATTAAGAAAAGAATTCTAGCAACTGTCCAGTTTAAATGCAATATCTGGGTCTTCTTTGTCTGAATCACTATGCCACACTGGATATAGCTTAAGGTTTGTTTTTTTTAAAGTAACACATTGATACATCTTGAATTTTAAAGCAAAAATGAATATTGAATATTGAGTTTTGAAATCAACAGTCTTGTCTCAAATTTGAAGTTTATAATTTGAACTTATTTGCTGAGATTTGGTAACAGTTATGAATGACTTTAACACAGTAATCAAGTTTATATTATTACTTTTCTACACACACACACACACACACACACACACACACACACCTGTTCCCTGCCTAATACCAACACAGAAACTGTAAAGGCATTGAAATCAATTGGTGATAACAACATGAAATTCTGCTGTTCAGAAGAGAAAAAACTTGTCTGTCTGTCTATCTATCTATCATCATATATATATATATA